GGCCCAAAAACACATCTTCTTAGATTTAAAAAAATAGAAATTATACAATGTCTGCTCTCAGATCACAATGGAATTAAACCAGAAATCAACAACAAAAAAGATAACAGGAAAACTCAAACTACATGGAGAATAAAAAAATATACTTCTAAATAATATATGGATCAAGGAAGGAACATCAAAAGAAATTTTAAAATATTTTGAACTAAATGCAAATAAAAACACAGCTCAACAAATTTTGTGGAATGTGGTGAAGGCAATCCTTAGAGGGAAATTTATACCATTGAATGATATATTTAGAAAAGATGAAGCTCTAAAATCAACAATGTAAGTTTCCATATTAGGAAAACAGAAAAGGAAGAATAAGATATATCCAAAGTAAGCAGAAGAAAACAAAATAAGAATTAGAGTAGAAATCAATGAAATTCAAAAACAGGAACTCAATAGGGAAAATCAACAAAACCAAAAACTGGTTCTTTAAAAGGATCAATAAAACAGATAAGCCTCTAGCCAGCCTAACTAAGGAAAAGAAGAGAGAACACAGTTAAGTGTCAGAAGTGAAAGAGGGGATGGGGTGCTTGGGTGACTAAGTCAGTTAAGTGCCAATTCTTGGTTTAGGCTCAGGTCATTGTCTCATTGGTGGTGAGATGGAGCCCCACTTTGGGCTCTGCACTCAGCTCAGAGTCTGCTTGAAGATTCTCTCCTGCGCCTCCCCCCTCTCTTTCTCTTAAATAAATAAATCTTTGAGGAAAAAAAGGAATGAAAGAGGGGAAATTAAAAGGATAATAAAAGAATAATTATAAACAACACTATGCCCACAAATGTGATAACCTAGATGAAATAAACCAATGCCTTGAAAGACATAATTTGCCAAAACTCACACAAAAAGAAATAGAAAATCTGAATAGGCCTATATTGATCAAAGAAAATGAATCAGTAAATAATAAACTCCCCAAATAGAAAACACCTGGCCCAGATAGGTTCCTCATTTAAGGAAGAAGTTATACTGATTTTCTACAGTCTCTTTCAGAGTTTAGAACCAGAGAGAATACTCCCTAATTTATCATGAGGCATCAACTCTAATGCCAAAAGTTGAAATAAATATTACAAGAAAACTACAAAATATGATCTCCTGTGAACATAAAACACGAAAATCAACAAAATATTAGCAAGTTGAATCCAACAATGTGTAAACCGAATTATACACAATGACCAAGTGGCATTTATCCCAAATATGCAAGGTTGTGTCAACACTCAAAAAACAATTAACGCCATCTCCCGCATCACAGACTGAAAAAGAAAAATCACATGATCCCATCAAATAGAAACAGCATTCGACAAAATTCAACACCAAGTCATGATAAAAACACTGTCAACTAGAAATAGTGGAGAACGTTCTGCACTTTATAAAGAATATCTACAAAAAACCCTACAGCTAGCATCATACCTCATGGTACAAAACTCTAAGCTTTCTCACTAGGATCAGGCACAAGGCAAAAGTGTCCCCTCTAACCACTGCTTTTCAACATCACACTGGTAGATTTAGTTAATGCAGTTAAGAAAAGGAATGACATGGTATACAGAATGTGAAGAAAGACATAAAACTGTCTTTGTAGGTAGATGATATGATTGTCTAGATAGAAAATCTAAAAGAATTAAAAAAAAAAAAAAAGAAAAGAAAAAGCTACTCCTGGAACTAATAAGCAATCATGGCAAGGTTGCAGGATAAAGGCTAAAAAACAAGAGTCAATTCCTTTCCTATATACCAGCATTGAACAAGCAGAATTTAATATTAAAACCACAATACCACTTACATTGGCACCGCAAAAAAGAAATACTTAGGTATAAACCTAACAAAATATGTACAAGATCAATATAATAAAAACTACAAAATTATGATGAACAAAATCAGAGTTAAATAAATGGAGAGATAATCCATGTTTATGGATAGGATGATTCACGTTTTTCACCATGTCAGTTTTTCCCAACTTGATCTATAGATTCAATGCAATCTCAAACAAAAATCTAGCACAGTGGGGCACCTGGGTGGCTCAGTGGGTTAAAGCCTCTGCCTTTGGCTCAGGTCATGATCCCAGGGTCCTGGGATCAAGCCCTGAATCAGGCTCTCCAGTCGGCAGGGAGCCTGCTTCCCTTCCTCTCTCCCTCTGTCTGCCTCTCTGCCTACTTGTGATCTCTGTCTGCCAAATAAATAAATAAAATCTTAAAAAAAAAAAATCCAGCACATTATTTTATGGATATTCACAAACTGCTTATTAAGTTCACTTAGAGAATCAAAAACCCAAATAGCCAACACAATATTAAAAAAGAAAAAGAAGAACAAAGTAGGAAGATTAACAGTGCTAACTTCAAGACTTACTATAAAGGGCGCCTGATTGGCAGTCTCTTGAGGATCCCATTCTTGATTTCAGCTCAAGTCATGATCTCAGGGTCCTGGGATTGAGCCCTGCATTGGGCTCCCCCCTCAGTGGGGAGTCTGGTTGGGGAGTCTCCCTCTTTCTCTCTTTTCCTCTGCCTTTACCCCCGCCTTTGTGTGCTTCCTCTCTCAAATAAATAAAGAAATCTTAAAAAAAAAAAAAATCAAGACAATGTGATATTGGTGAAAAAAATACAAAAAGGTCAATGGAACAGAATAGAAAGCCCAAAAAAGAACCACACAAATATAGTCAACTGACCATGACAAAGGAACGAAGGCAATACAATGGAGCAATGATAGTCTCCTCCACAGATGGTACCGGAAAAAATAAATAACCATATGCCCCCAAAAACAAAACAAAACAAAACGCGACAACAAAAACGAAAGAGAGAATCTAGACACAGAACTTACCACCCTTCACACAAATCAACTCAAAATGAATCACAGACCGAAATGTAAAATGCGTAACCATAAAATTCCTAGATGACAACATAGGACAAAATCCAGATGACCTTGGATATGGAAATGACTTTTTAAATACAATGCCGAAGACATTGTCCGTGGAGAAATAATTGGTCAGCTGGCCTTCATTAAAGTAAAAAAACTCTGTTCCATAAAAGACAATGCTAAAAGAATAAGACAAGCCATAGACTGAGAGAAAATACTTGTGAAATATATATATCAGATAAAGAGCTATTACCCAAAATATACAAAGAACTCTTAAAATTCAACTCTAAGAAAACAAACAACCCAATTAAAAAATGGTCCAAAGATGGGATGCCTGGGTGGCTCAGTGGGTTAAATCCTCTGCCTTCGGCTCAGGTCGTGATCCCAGGGTCCTGGGATCAAGCCCCACATCGGGCTCTCTGCTTGGTGGGGAGCCTGCTTCCTATCCCCTCTCTCTCTGCCTGCCTCTCTGCCTACTTGTGATCTGTCAAATAAGTAAATAAAATCTTAAAAAAAAAAAGGTCCAAAGACATTATCAGACACCTCACCAAGAAAATATATATAGATGGCAAATGAGCATTTGAAAAAATGCTCCACATTCTCTATCACAGGAAAATGCAAAATAAAACAATAGTGATATGCTATTACACATTTGTTAGGATGGTCAAAGTCCAGAACGCTGACAACCCCAAGTGCTAAAGAGAATGAAGAGCAACAAGAAGTCATATTCATTGTTAGTGGTGTGCAAAATTGTGCTGCCACTTTAAAATGACAGTTTGGCGATTTCCTATAAAACCAAATAAACATGCTCTTAACATAAGATCCAGAAGTCATTTCTAAAACCATAAATCAATTTTGCCTGCTCACTTATACAAATGGAGTCATACAATCTGTACGTCTTTGTGTCTGACTTTTCTCTCCAAATAATGCCTGTGAGATTTATACGTCATTGTCTGTATCTATATCAATAGTTCATTCTTCATCGTTATGTAGAATCCCATTCTATGAACATATCTAAAATGTACTTCTCCATTCTACTTTTGGTGAGAGAATGGAATTGTTTCCTATCTGGGATAACATGAATAAAGTTGCTATAAATATTAAAAAAAAAAAGATCCAGAAGTCATGCATTTACTTGTATTTATGTGGCATTTACTTACCCAAAGGAGTTGAAAGAAAACTTATGTCCACTCAAAATTCTGCACGCAGATGTTTAGAAGGATTTTAGTCATAAATGCCAAAACTTTGAAGCAACCAAGATGCCCATCAGTAGATTAATGGATAAATAAATGATGGTACCTCCAAACAGTGACATATTACTTAGTGCTAAAAAGGAATGGTCTACTAAGCCATGAAAAGACATGGAGAAATCTTAAACACGTATTACCATGCGGGGAAAAAAAGCAATCTGAAAAGGCTACATACTGGGTGATTCCAACTATACAACATTCTGGGAAAGGCAAAACTGAAGACAGTAAAAAAGTCAGTGGTTGCCATGGCATGGGCAGGAGGATGATTGGGGGAAGTGCAGGGAGTTTTTAGGGCAGTGAAAATGCTCTGTAAAATACCATAATAAAGGGGTGCCTGAGTGGCTCAATGGGTTGAGCCTCTGCCTTGGGCTCAGGTCATGATCTCAGCTTCCTGGGATAGAGCCCACAGCGCATTGGGTTCTCTGCTCAGCAGGGAGCCTGCTTCCCCCTCCCGCCTCCACCTGTCTCTCTGCCTACTTGTGATCGCTCTGTCAAATAAATAAAATACCATAATAATAGTTACATGTCATTATATGTTTATCAAACCCACAGAACGTACAAGAGTGAATCTTCATGTAAACTATGGATTCTAGGTAATAATGATGTGTCAGTGTTGGTTCACTAATTGTAACAAATGTACCACTTTGTGGAGGATATTGTAATAAGGGAGGCTATGCATGCGTGGGGGCAAGGAGAATTTGGAAAATCTCTATACCTTCCTCTCAGTTTTGCTGTGAATCTTAAACCTCTCTAAAAAAAATTAAATCTTAATTTAAAAAAAAAAAGATGTAGAAAGAAACTAGATGTAAAATATTACAATATTTTATTATTTCATTTATTTGAAATTTATAGAAACAGCAAATCTATAAAGACAGAAAGTTGAACTATGGTTTTCTCAGTCTGAAGACAGGAGTGGGATTGACTGCAAATGAGCACAAGGCAACTTCTGGAGTGATAAGAATGATTTAAAACGGAGTTATTAACTCAGTTTGTTAAGTGTGTGCTTTCAGCTCTGGTCATGATCCCAGGGTCCTGGGATAGAGTCCACTTTGGGCTCCTTGCTCAGTGGGAAGTCTGCTTCTCCCTCTTCCTATCTCTCTTCCTATCCCTTTATCCCTCTCCCACTGCTAGTGTTCTCTCTCTGTCTCAAATAAATACAGTAAAACCAGGTTGTGGTGATAGTGGATAGCTCCATGAGATTACTAAATTCACCTAACTACACATAGAGTGAGTAATCACATGGTATGTAAATTGTGCTTCAATAAAACAGCTCAAGAAGAAGGAGAAAGAGAAAAGAAGGAGGAGGAGGACATGAGGGAGGAGGAGAAGAAGGGAGAGAAGAGAAGAAGAAGAGGCAAAGAGAAGGAAGGGAAGGGAAGGGAGGAAAAGGGAGGGGAAGGGAAAGGAAGTGAAGGGAAGGGAAGGAAAGAGAGGAGAGCTCACTGCTGCACAGTTAGCCACCCTGTCCCCAGCTGCATACTTGTTAGTTCCAGCTCTGATATTTACCAGCTTTGCAATCTTGGCCAGTCACTGGATAAATGAAAACTCAGAACTCCTTCCAAACATCTTCTAGGAAAATGAAATGGATTTTTAAATTATTAATAAGTATTGAAATGAACTTCTTTCCTCTTCATAAGAACTTAGCTTCTTATCATTTCCACTAAGAAAAAGATCATTCTAAAATAAATACCTCCATTTGCTACTTAAAACTGTTTTTTACATGTTCTTTTTGCAGTTGGTTCAAATTAGCATCCACACAAGGTGTACCCATTACATTTAGATTTTTCCTAAGTCTCTTTTAAGTTATAAGAGGAAAAGATGATGCTTGGAGGGCACTTCTTTTTTTTTTTTTTTAATATTTAACCATTATATTTTCACATCTTATTCTATAGCATTTTATTTTTTTTTATTTTTATTTATAATTTTATTTTTTATAAACATATATATATATTTTTTCCCCCAGGGGTACAGGTCTGTGAATCTCCACGTTTACACACTTCACAGCACTCACCATAGCACATACCCTACCCAATGTCCATAACCCACCCCCAACCCCCCTCTGCCCAGCAACCCTCAGTTTGTTTTTGTGAGATTAAGAGTCACTTATGGTTTGTCTCCCTCCCAATCCCAACTTGTTTCATTTACTCTTCTCCTACCACATTAACCCCCCATGTTGCATCTCCTCTCCCTCATATCAGGGAGATCATATGATAGTTGTCTTTCACTGATTGACTTATTTCGCTAAGCACGATACGCTCTAGTTCCATCCACGTTGTCGCAAATGGCAAGATTTCATTTCTTTTGATGGCTGCATAGTATTCCATTGTATATATATACCACATCTTCTTTATCCATTCGTCTGTTGATGGACATCTAGGTTCTTTCCATAGTTTGGCTATTGTAGACATATTGCTGCTATAAACATTCGGGTGCACGTGCCCCTTCGGATCACTACGTTTGTATCTTTAGGGTAAATACCCAGCAGTGCAATTGCTGGGTCATAGGGTAGTTCTATTTTCAACATTTTGAGGAACCTCCATGCTGTTTTCCAGAGTGGTTGCACCAGCTTGCATTCCCACCAACAGTGTAGGAGGGTTCCCCTCTCTCCGCTTCCTCGCCAGCATCTGTCATTTCCGGACTTGTTAATTTTAGCCATTCTGACTGGTGTGAGGTGGTATCTCATTGTGGTTTTGATTTGTATTTCCCTGATGCCGAGTGATATGGAGCACTTTTTCATGTGTCTGTTGGCCATCCGGATGTCTTCTTTGCAGAAATGTCTGTTCATGTCTTCTGCCCATTTCTTGATTGGATTATTTGTTCTTTGGGTGTTGAGTTTGCTAAGTTCTTTATAGATTTTGGACACTAGCCCTTTATCTGATATGTTGTTTGCAAATATCTTCTCCCATTCTGTCAGTTGTCTTTTGGTTTTGTGAACTGTTTCCTTTGCTGTGCAAAAGCTTTTGATCTTGATAAAATCCCAATAGTTCATTTTTGCCCTTGCTTCCCTTGCCTTTGGCGATGTTCCTAGGAAGATGTTGCTGTGGCTGAGGTCAAAGAGGTTGCTGCCTGTGTTCTCCTCAAGGATGTTGATGGATTCCTTTCTCACATTGAGGTCCTTCATCCATTTTGAGTCTATTTTCGGGTGTGGTGTAAGGAAATGATCCAATTTCATTTTTCTGCATGTGGCTGTCCAACTTTCCCAACACCATTTATTGAAGAGGCTGTCTTTTTTCCATTGGACATTCTTTCCTGCTTTGTCGGAGATTAGTTGACCATAGAGTTGAGGGTCTATTTCTGGGCTCTCTATTCTGTTCCATTGATCTATGTGTCTGTTTTTGTGCCAGTACCATGCTGTCTTGATGATGACAGCTTTGTAATAGAGCTTGAAGTCCGGAATTGTGATGCCACCAACTTTGGCTTTCTTTTTCAATATTCCTTTGGCTATTCGCGGTCTTCTCTGGTTCCATATAAATTTTAGGATTATTTGTTCCATTTCTTTGAAAAAAATGGATGGTACTTTGATAGGAATTGCATTAAATGTGTAGATTGCTTTAGGTAGCATAGACATTTTCACAATATTTATTCTTCCAATCCAGGAGCATGGAATATTATTCCATTTCTTTGTGTCTTCCTCAATTTCTTTCATGAGTACTTTATAGTTTTCTGTGTATAGATTCTTAGTCTCTTTGGTTAGGTTTATTCCTAGGTATCTTATAGTTTTGGGTGCAATTGTAAATGGGATGGACTCCTTAATTTCTCTTTCTTCTGTCTTGTTGTTGGTGTAGAGAAATGCGACTGATTTCTGTGCATTGATTTTATATCCTGACACGTTACTGAATTCCTGTACAAGTTCTAGAAGTTTTGGAGTGGAGTCTTTTGGGTTTTCTACATATAGTATCATATCATCTGCGAAGAGTGATAGTTTGACTTCTTCTTTGCCGATTTGGATGCCTTTAATTTCTTTTTGTTGTCTGATTGCTGAGGCTAGGACTTCTAGTACTATGTTGAATAGCAGTGGTGATAACGGACATCCCTGCCGTGTTCCTGACCTTAGAGGAAAAGCTTTCAATTTTTCTCCATTGAGAATGATATTTGCGATGGGTTTTTCATAGATGGCTTTGATAATATTGAGGTATGTGCCCTCTATCCCTACACTTTGAAGAGTTTTGATCAGGAAGGGATGCTATACTTTGTCAAATGCTTTTTCAGCATCTATGGAGAGTATCATATGGTTCCTGTTTTTTCTTTTATTAATGTGTTGTATCACATTGATTGATTTTGGATGTTGAACCAACCTTGCAGCCCTGGAATAAATCCCACTTGGTCATGGTGAATAATCCTTTTAATGTACTGTTGAATCCTATTGGCTAGTATTTTGGTGAGAATTTTTGCATCTGTGTTCATCAAGGATATTGGTCTGTAGTTCTCTTTTTTGATGGGATCCTTGTCTGGTTTGGGGATCAAGGTGAGGCTGGCCTCATAAAATGAGTTTGGAAGTTTTCCTTCCATTTCTATTTTTTGGAACAGTCTCAGGAGTATAGGAATTAGTTCTTCTTTAAATGTTTGGTAGAATTCCCCCGGGAAGCCGTCTGGCCCTGGGCTTTTGTTTGTTTGGAGATTTTTGATGACTGTTTCAATCTCCTTACCGGTTATGGGTCTGTTCAGGCTTTCTATTTCTTCCTGGTTCAGTTGTGGTAGTTTATATGTCTCTAGGAATGCATCCATTTCTTCTAGATTGTCCAATTTGTTGGTGTAGAGTTGCTCATAGTATGTTCTTATAATTGTCTGTATTTCTTTGGTGTTAGTTGTGATCTCTCCTCTTTCATTCATGATTTTATTTATTTGGGTCCTTTCTCTTTTCTTTTTGATAAGTCTGGCCAGGGGCTTATCAATCTTATTAATTCTTTCAAAGAACCAGCTCCTAGTTTCGTTGATTTGTTCTATTGTTTTTTTTGGTTTCTATTTCATTGATTTCTGCTCTGATCTTTATGATTTCTCTTCTCCTGCTGGGTTTAGGGTTTCTTTCTTGTTCTTTCTCCAGCTCCTTTAGGTGTAGGGTTACGTTGTGTACCTGAGACCTTTCTTGTTTCTTGAGAAAGGCTTGTACCGCTATATATTTTCCTCTCAGGACTGCCTTTGCTGTGTCCCACAGATTTTGAACTGTTGTATTTTCATTATCATTTGTTTCCATGAATTTTTTCAATTCTTCTTTAATTTCCTGGTTGACCCATTCATTCTTTAGAAGGATGCTGTTTAGTCTCCATGTATTTGGGTTCTTTCCAAATTTCCTCTTGTGATTGAGTTCTAGCTTCAGAGCATTGTGGTCTGAAAATACGCAGGGAATGATCCCAATCTTTTGATACCAGTTGAGACCTGATTTAGGACCGAGGATGTGATCTATTCTGGAGAATGTTCCATGTGCACTAGAGAAGAATGTGTATTCTATTGCTTTGGGATGAAATGTTCTGAATATATCTGTGATGTCCATCTGGTCCAGTGTGTCATTTAAGGCCTTTATTTCCTTGTTGATCTTTTGCTTGGATGATCTGTCCATTTCAGTGAGGGGAGTGTTAAAGTCCCCTACTATTATTGTATGATTGTGGATGTGTTTCTTTGATTTTGTTATTAATTGGTTTACATAGTTGGCTGCTCCCACGTTAGGGGCATAGATATTTACAATTGTTAGATCTTCTTGTTGGACAGATCTTTTGAGTATGATATAGTGTCCTTCCTCATCTCTTATTATAGTCTTTGGCTTAAAATCTAATTGATCTAAGGATTGCCACTCCTGCTTTCTTCTGATGTCCATTAGCATGGTAAATTCTTTTCCACCCCCTCACTTTAAATCTGGTGGTGTCTTCGGGTTTAAAATGAGTTTCTTGAAGGCAACATATAGATGGGTTTTGTTTTTTTATCCATTCTGATACCCTGTGTCTTTTGATTGGGGCATTCAGCCCATTAACATTCAGGGTAACTATTGAGAGTTATGAATTTAGTGCCATTGGATTGCCTGTAAGGTGACTGTTATTGTGTATTGTCTCTGTTCCTTTCTGATCTACTAGTTTTAGGGTCTCTCTTTGCTTAGAGGACCCCTTTCAATATTTCCTGTAGAGCTGGCTTGGTGTTTGCAAATTCTTTCAGTTTTTGTTTGTCCTGGAAGCTTTTAATCTCTCCTTCTATTTTCAATGATAGCCTAGCTGCATATAGTATTCTTGGCTGCATGTTTTTCTCGTTTAGTACTCTGAATATATCATGCCAGCTCTTTCTGGCCTGCCAGGTCTCTGTGGATAAGTCTGCTGCCAATCTAATATTTTTACCATTGTATGTTACAGACTTCTTCTCCCGGGCTGCTTTCAGGATTTTCTCTTTGTCACTAAGACTTGTAAATTTTACTATTAGGTGACGGGGTGTGGACCCATTCTTATTGATTTTGAGTGGGGTTCTCTGAACCTCCTGGATTTTGATGCTTGTTCCCTTTGCCATATTGGGGAAATTCTCTCCAATTATTCTCTCCAATATACCTTCTGCTTCCCTCTCTCTTTCTTCTTCTTCTGGAATCCCAATTATTC